AAACCAAAGCGGGGGGGGGTGGTAGTGTTGGGGTGTGCAGCAGGGAAACAAAGAATAAACCAGCTGCGATTTTGAAATTGTAATGGTTTTGGCCAAGGGGACAAATGGAAGTTTTATCAAAGCTCCAGCTGCAAGTCAGGTTTGAGCTGAAATCGTATTTGTATTTGCTGCTCCATGTCCCACCCACACAGAGTGGCATTCACATACCCTGCCTGTACTCCTGCCTCCAGAAACATGTGGGAAGCAGTGCATTTCTTTTCTGAATTCTAAGAAAGGGTTGGAGTAAAATGTCATCCAGATGTCAACAGGGCAAGGAAATACTCAAGAGTAAAAGATTTAACTCAGCTCTGAGATCACGATGCCGTAGTTTCTCCAGATACTACAAATTAGTAGCAACACAAAAAATAGCAACTTTACAATAGGTTTGGAGAGACCTCCTAAGTAATGATTTGCAGATAAGTTGAATTCCAACAAGTTGAGGAAATAAAATATCACCAGTTCTTCATCTCATCTGGCCTTTGCCTGGCCTCCTTCACTGCATTCTTATATTCCTTTTTTTTTTTTTTTTTACCCCCATCTCATCTTCCTTTTCACCCGTTACGGATTGTTATCCTCCCCTTCCCCCTAACATGTTGCTCCTTGGCCTCTCTTATTCTGAAAGAATAACCACAGGAGCCCCACAATACTCCTCTTTTCAGCAATAAACCAAATGCAAGCTTTGAACTGGCATCATATAAAACTGCTGAAAAACTGGCAGGCAGAACACCCAGAAGCAACAATTTCCTTGGTCACCCATACCGAAACTGGCACAGTGTGAAGTCTAATCTGCTGCTTGTTGCTCTCAGAAATTGGTTTCTGATGATGCAAGTCCCCAACAATTTTCTGAAGCTTCCTTTGTGGTAGCGCTGTGTGTTACACATATCTTGGCTGCTTATTTCTAAATTGCACTCCATCCACAACCCTCAGTAAAACGTCTTGGTGTACAAAACAGCCCTGTTAGCCTTGCTCCTTTTGTTAATCTTTGCACTTTCCTAGTCACCCCCAGATGCACTATAACATCCTTTCCTTGGCTTCCCATTTTCTCCTTTTCTTTGAGTTCTCCCATCTTTTTTCACCCCCTCACATATTTGCGAGATCAGCAGCTACCCCTGCCAGACCCTCCCCAAGTGCAAAAATATCCTGTATTTAGTAAAGCTGACTTTCCCACGAACAGAGTCAGCCAATACGGTTTACATCAGATGCACTTCACCTACAGAAGTATTCCAAGAGAGAAAAGTGAATAGCTATATATGATGCTACATATTTCCTTCCGCACCTGACTCCATGTAAAGCACATTAGGAAGAGCTTTCACCTAGCAGGCAGCCCACAACACGCAGAGGCAGCCTGTCACGCAGGCAGCGGTCACAGCAGATGCATGCAGTGGGTACTCACCTCCTTCTGCAGTAGGTTCCACTCTGTTTCGCTAACCAAACGGTAACCGCTAGGAGACACATAAGCGCTTTCTACCCCTTGTGTAACACTGGACAGTAGTGAAGCAGTCTCTTCTTGCTCTGGTGTCATTGCTTTGATTGCTTTTTCCTGATCTTTGGTTAACATGAACCCACTTGGCATTTGCAGAGACCCAAGGGATGCTGTATCAAAGTTCTCAGACACTGAATCTGCTCCAACAAGTGGTCCAAAATCTGACTCGTCCAGGTTCCCAGCAGATTTTGCTTTGTTGTTGTATCCTAAAGCTTTGGACTGTAAAGATCCAGATGTCCCCAGACTGTCTGTTGACTGTGCTCTCCGTAGTCCATCTTTAAACATATCATTATCCGATTTATTGAAAGATTCGCCAGAAGAAAGAAGCAAGTCTGCATCCAACGAATGGACTGAGCCATGGGTGCTATTTACATGCACCTGGAATTGAAAAACAAGGAAGAAAAAATTGTATGCTCCATTCTAGAAGCATGGTACAAGAGGAATGCTAGACTCTAATTATCAGACATGGTAAAGGCAAGTTTAAATTGGCTTTGGCAAGAACATCCGATCACTAAACTTAAGATGGCAGAGGAAAGGATAGAGAACTGAAATGTACCAGCTAGAATTAAAAAACAAAACAAAGCAAACAAGCAAAAAAGAGTCTTCTGTTAACAGAGTGCTTTTGTAAGAATCTGTCTTCCTGCCAGACAAGCAAGGTCACAGTCACCTTACATCTTCCAATACTTGAAACAAGGCGCTTCTTCCACTGAAGAGATACACTTGCAGTATCACTTCTAGAACTATGATCTACACAACAGAAGGCAAATATTCCACTTCCACAAGTAAATTCAGAAGTCTTCCGTAAAACAAAAAACTTTACATTAATATAAAAATAAATGGAGAATGATATACTTAAAATCTACTCTATACTGACAAGTGAATATTCTTCTTCTATTTCTTTCTTCTGCTTTGAGTGTCTGACAAAATATTGTAAGAGAGAGAAATATTTTCTTTAAAAGAGTACTTGTACATAAATTAAAATGCAAAGGGAAAAGGCCGGGCTTAAACAGAAAGGCATCCTTGGGAATGCCAATACCAAAAGCCACACTACCTGTCCCGTGACGTGTATAAGGCACATTAAGTCTCTTGATCTATTTTTATTTATTTGTAGCACTGAAAAGAGAGCAGTAATGCTTTATTTAAAAAGCTTATGACTGCTTTCAAAATACTTTCCAATATATTATGCACTTCTGCTTTGCCATTAGACATATAAAGAAAGCAACACTGAAAACAAGCCTCTTGAGAAAAATAGTAATTTCCGAAATAGGTCCAGCAGAGACTACCAGGCGGCTGGTACTTCCATATAGGTGTTTATAACTTATAACAATGTTTTATGTATTACTGGTTTTATGACTGTTGTAAATGCCTTGTTTTAAATATTTTTAGCAGTAATATTTATATTTACTTCAATATGTATACATATAAGTTTAAGTTAATGACAAAAAGTCAAGAGAATACAGACTTATATAAAACTGCATCTTCAGACAACAACTGTTTGGTGATACAGTTAACAAATCATTTGTTTGTATTGCAAACTGCTCAACAGAGGAGAGCTCAGAAGTCAAATTATGGCAAGTTATGAGACATGACTGATAATATGATACATTACCACTTCTAAAACACATTCTGTGCAGCTAGAAAAGGTCATAAATAGCAACAAAATATAAATCCATAAGAAAAGACAAAACCACTCTGGAAACTATACCCTTACTCAAAATGTAAAATTCTCCATCATGCATAATTCCTAGAATTAAATAAATGTTGTGATTAAGGGACTAAAGAGTATCCCAGGAACTGAGATTAAAGAAATCATCAGAAGACAAAACTGTTGTTCACCATCAACAGGTCTCATTTCATACCTGGATATGGAAGTGTTAGTATACAACACAGTATTTGAAATAGAAAAAGTTGTACCCTTACTGTAGGATAAAGGGTAGAACTAGATCTCAGCTAAACATCTTTCTGCATTCTGAACTGTTACAAATCACTGATAACAACAAAGGGCAGACTCTAGAAGTATATACTTTTTTCCCTTCAAAAAGGATAAATAAAACAGGCAAAATACCGGTTTGACACTGCGAATTCCCAAGTCTCTTGAAGCTTACATAAGCTTCTACAGCACAAAACTTGGTTTGTTTTTGTTAATTTGCCCCTGTTTTGAGTTACAAAACCGAAATGGAACCTGTCAGATGATCAGATAAACAAGCAAAATGCAGTGGGAAAGGATAAGTAATTGCTCATTTTGATATTGTTTCCAAGTTACAACCTGTGTGCTCATTGGACTTGTTTCTTCACAAGCAAAAAGGTTAGGCAAATTTCAAATACAACTTCAGCTTGTCCCAGTGGATGAGTATCTGCAACACCCAAAAGGCTTGCTAACTAATGACATCCAGCAGCATCACTTTTACTGGCTGTCACAATGAGTCTACTAATACAGCTCAAGCAGCTTCTGCAAAAACTTGGTGCTGAGCCCCAGCTACTGGCTCAGCTGAAAAAACCTTATTTTTGGTTGCTGAACAGATGTGGCCAAAACCCTCTGCTTGCGCAGTTGCATGTAGCTGAATACACACAGACACACACATCATGCTATTTTACACATGCTAAGCAACTGGCTAACTTCATAATCGGTGATCTCAGACTTGTCTAACCAGCTTAAGTTTAGTACAGAATTCAACAAACAGGTTAGCAAAGTAGCTACAATACACTTGCTGAATGTTCAGGTATAATTGGCTCAATTCTGAACATTTAGGTGCGTTAGAAAGCGGTTATAAATCCCAAGAGAATTTAACAGCAGTTAACATCCAGAATGCAAAAGGTAAATTACAGTTTTTAACAGCACCTCTCAGGATTGTAAAGTATTGTCTTCCAATCTTTATTACAATTTATATATTCAAGTGCAACTCCAAAGATTTGTCATTGCTTAATAAGAATTATAAGCTACACAGAATAAAGGGCACTAAGTTTGCATTTGTATTTGTAATCAACACCCTGAGGAATGCACGAGTGCTCAAAGTTGCTTTGAACTATCCAATTGTTTTACCTCTTCGCTAGAGAGCTGGGTAAGGGTTTCCTCATGGGCTAGAGAACATGAAGCTTTCGTTTCATCATCTGAATCTTTTTGCTTCTGCTCCTTTCTCTTACTAAGTCTTTGCTGATCATCTTCTTCCTAGAAATCAGTGGTCAATAAGAGGACACATGTAAGCGGGATTCAATTTTGCCATAGTAGTCATGACATTAGCTTTCATGATAAACTAAGCTACAAAGGCGGCACTGGAAAAGATTATTTTGGTTAAAAACCCAGTATTTATCATATAAGGATTCTTTTGGTTAAAAATCTAGTGCTCATTTCACAAGGCACCCAAACTGACTTAAATGAGAACTTACTTTTCAAGTTTAGTGGCCAATTCATGTTCTAGAATAATTTTATTCAAAGAACATATTACTTGGATCAAAATTCTTATTTTAGCAATTACCAAATAAGTAACAAAAATAGCTGTTACACTGGCTACTGTATAGAACCTGATAACATATTTGCATCACTAACGGCCCCATTAACAGCCATTATACAAGCATGAACATTAAAACAAAACGTGAAAAGAAGTGCCTTGATCACTCTAAACAATGGAATAGAACATATGGAAAAGAATCAAAAGAAAGACATCATAGAACACTAAGTCATAAAGCATGTACAAAATCACTTGCATAAGCTAATTTAAAATGAAGCTCTTAATTTATGCCTGAGCTAGGTACTGTATTGGAAAAACCTAGAAAGAAGTGAAACTTGCTATGCTAACATCCTTAACCCAGATGTTCTGCATCATAGATGACTGTTTCTTCCTCCAAGATTAACTTCTGGATATTATTACCTTTTCATTTAACAATATTGGCAACATTACTTTTAAAGTTACTATATACATTAATATTAAAATATTCGCACAAATGGAGAGTTTCTGTTATAACTGTCGGCTGGGATTTTCAAATAGAGAATTTCTATTAAAACTGTCAGCTATCATTTTTTGAAATATTAACACACTTAAATAACTTGTCTCCAACATATGATTTCCGTATCTGTTATACCACATTAAATCTACAGTATTTAAAAAAAAAAAAAAAAGGGGGAAAGCAGCAAGTAACCTGATCCTTTTTTTTCAGTTCTTCAACTTGTCGGAGCTGCTCAGAGGTCAGAACAATTTCCATACGTTGCATGTCCCTCATCAGCAAACGCTGAGACTCCAAGAACTGGTCATTGGCTTTTTGCCATGTGTGTTTCAACTGGTTGTGCTGTTGTCGCTCTTGCTCTAAGAGATGGCAGACTATTCAAAAATAGAAAGAGTCATTCTGAATCAGAATTTTTTTAGCCTCTTTTCCAAAGAGATGCATTTTCACAAATAAAAGTAATTATTGTTCTAATCAAAAACAGTCAGGCTTTGTTCAACAACTATTTAGGATGAAATAAGACATTTTCTTAATTCCCAAACTTGGCCTGTGATTAGGCATGCATTACTGACAGTTTAAGATTTCCCAATTAGAAGACTAACGCCTTGAATTCATTCATGAATTCTAATAGTTTATTTTTTTAGTGCTGGTTTCAAAAGACTGTCTTCTACGTCCCTATTTATTTCAACAGACAGTTCCAGTTTTCATTCCTCTACAGTGATTCTGCGCTGTACTGGCATGCATGTACATTTACACATCCATTCCACCACCAGACGTTCAGAATTTACATACTTCAGGGAGACATATCAATACATTACGGAAATAATGCTCATAATTGTACACAAATAAAAGACACCAGTAAAATCACTTTAATAAGAAGGAAGCTTGCAATACTATAAGAACTTAGCTGAATTTCAATAGCATCCCTCGAGAGAATGAATGGCTCTGTTGTTTTCCTCCATCATAAAAGAACTCCACATTCAACTCTTCTGTAAACATTTCAAGGGCTTTCACATTTAAAAGTACTGCTTCCCCCTGCCCAATTTATTTAAATCCAATTCAAATAAGAGCTCAGAAAAGGAGTAACAGCGGTCTTGGTTTTTGCATCCTTAGTGTAAGAGAGTCAGAAGGATTATTATTAGATAGGTACCTTCATGCAGTTCTTTCCGCAACTTCTCTGCATCTTCTTGCAGGACTGATTTTTGCGTGTTGAGAACAGCCACATACATCTCTAAGTCTGTCCTACACGACTTCTCAGCTTCCAAATAATGGTTCAGTTCTTTAACCTGAATAAAAAGAGGGAAATCCACCATCTCAGTGAAGGAACACTCTCAGGTATTTCCTCTTTCTTAGAAGTTACTGGTGTTGCCTGTTCGGGTAACATACAGGTGCTGAAGACAAGTTTATTTCTAGAAATCACACATACTCAAATACCAGAATGCAAGTAGTATTTTTATTTATTTCTGAATAAATTACTCATTAAAATTCTGCTAAGTCAAACATACCAGTATATTTATAGAGTTCCCACAGTTGGATCACAACAGCAGCAGCACTGAGCACAGAGATGGTAAAGAGGCTAAGAACAGCAAACAATGAAGCAATCCTTTAATTAGCATTGATAAACCAACAACTACGTTCTGTGTTTGGTTTTGGGTTTCCTACTCCAAAGATGATGAGGAGACAGTTCAAAATAGAGTAGTAACAGTAGTCAGAAAACATGACTATGAGGCAAGCTCGAACTAAACCAGAGATGGTAAGCCTAAGAAGAGAGAAAACTTGGGGACAGACAAGAAGAAAAACATTCAAACCCATGAAAGGCTGCTGCAAAAAGAAAGGAAAATCTGTCCATGAAGGATGGGATGAAAAGCAATTACAGTAAGAAAGACTGAAGAAGTATATTAGGATTTTTTTCTTCTTTTTTTTTGTTTTTTAAATAGCAAAGCTAACAAAGAACTGGAACAAACATCCTGCAGAGATTGCAGAATCTCTGGTGAGAACCTTTTAAAGATAGGGTTACATAAACATCTGTCAAACATGATGCACGTACAAATGGATCCCACCTTAGAGCAGGGAACAGGCTGAAAAATGTCCTTATGGCCCTATTCAGTTTTATGGTTTGCTGAGTTAGGAATCAAAAGAGTTTTTATTTTAAAAGGTAACAAAAGCTTTCAGGCAATTCCTGACTGGCTCCACAAAGCTGTTCTTCATCTCCCTCAAGGCAATACATGAGCCACAGACACAGAGTTCAAGATAGCCTTTCGGCTTTAACTTGCCATTGATGGTGGGGACAGCTTTTCCTGCCCTACGGTACCAAGCCTTCTGTCTGCAAGTCTTTTAGCCGTTGAAATGGAGAAATCTGACTCCCAGAGAATAACCCTTGAGAAGGATGGAACAGGGGGAAAAAACAAAAAAACCCCCACCAAAACAGAAGAAATGCATTGTTTGGCTAACCCAGCTAAACACTTGACACTGAAAAACAAAATTACATGACTCAAGCAGATCTGAGGGATTTCATCATGACAAACAGAAAGGTCAAATGTATCGCTCGTTCTGCAGGTGTCAGTCCTCATACCAGTGTAGTAATACAAATCATGTAAATAGTACCTTGCATTTTTATAGCACCTTAAAGTACTTTAGCAACTTCCTAAGTTTGTGCTTAAACATCTCCTTGCTAGATGCAAAAATAGCAATTCTTTCCCATTAGGCTAAAAAGGTGACTTGAAACTGGACTATCAGCAACTTCAGCCTGAAGGAATAATGAAGTGGAATAGATCACAGGTAGGAAATATGGGCCTAAGTTATTTTCCTTGGTAAGAATCACCATCTAAAGTAAGACTTCTTCAAAAACAACACCTCAGTGAACTAGAAACATGGATAAAGTGATTATTCTCTTTTTTCCAAGAGATGTGTGCTTGTGTTTTACTCATCCCACAGAATGACATGCTCAGATTTTAGAGGACTGACAGAGAAACCAACACAAATCCTGGTCCTGAAACACCATCAATTTTACTCAGGCCTTGCCTGTAAGGAAAGAGGGAGACAAGAATGACCTATGATTTTTATAGCCAAATTCAGCAGAAAAGTTCTAAGAAAAGTTCTAGACTACTCTTAAGAAAAGAAGAAGGAAAAAAAGAAAGCAAGAAAAAGCATTTTGAAAGTGAGCGAGCAAGAAGAGAAGGTTCACATTTCCTCATCTTCCCCAAATTCAGCCTGGCAATGAAAAGGAAGTATTATTTGCATCAAGAGAAAAAGCAGAACTACCTGGAGAACTATTATTCCTAGGAACACTTCAGTCTCAAAAATTTGACCTATAAAGCAATTCACAAAGAAGCTATGAAGAAGGAAAACACTCAAGCATGGACTCTCAATCGAATAAAATTGTTAAGACTGTAAAATGAATTACACTGCTCTCCCAAATCTCAGACCGACCTCCAAGTTGGAATAAAAGGGAAAAAAAAAAAAAAAAAAAAAAGAGAAAGAATTCCAGCAAGTGATGAGGATCAATTTAAACGAAGATGCAAGTGATCCAGAAAACAAGGAAGGTATTTATTTGTATGTCTTAAAAACATCCAAATGGTAAGTTACTTTGCAATTTCAGCCTATTTGACTTTCCAGATAAAATATTTGTTACAGAAGACATCTTCATTTCTGTATAAAACAGTACATTAAATGCAACTATCTTACTGTGATGTAGATATTATTTATCCTTCACAGCTAGTGAGAAAGTTCAACAGGGGTTCTGACATATCTGAAGAATACAGGAATGCTGGGTAAATCACTTACATTGACTTCTTGGCAGCAACGGCCAGTATCCCTTTCTATGAATCTGAGGTTTGCTTACAGTTTAAGATATAAAAATTCTGGTGACATTGCCTGAGTTTTATGCCCAGGATTAGAAAATGAAATATAGCAGATACTGGATGGAAGTAGATTAAAAGAATTCTGTCAAATGCAAATCTTTCTGTAGCTGCAAGCATGACATTAATCTAAAGGCCAGACTGTTGGGAGTAGTGCAAAGCAGCTATTTTTCTAGAGGTTTTTCTTTTTCACTTCTAATAGAGCTGAAGCCACGCAATTTAAGCTAAGCACAGATGACACACACACGTAACCCAACCCTCAAAACAGGAAGGCAGGAAGACATATATAGGCCAAATAAATTATTTGAGCTATAGGAGAAAAGATATATTGTGCATGAAGAGTTTCACAATACACTTTTTTCTCTCTTACAAGATTTGACTTTACTTATCTGCATCAAACTAGCATGATGCAAGATATAAATTAAGATACAGTTACAACTCCACCTCACCTTTGATGCTTCTAACTCTTTTATTTTTTCTTCAGCTCCTGTCAATTTCTCCTTTAGCGCTGCAATCTCTTTCTCCATAGGCATCACAACCGAACGCAGCTTCTCAGCATCTTCCTGGGCCTGAAGTTAATGCAATAAATTACGAATAACACATTATCATAGTTTTCACTACAACAGTTTCCATTATTGGAGACATTTGGAGAAAATCTCTATGCCAACAAAAATAGCTGACTAAACTTCCACTTTCAATGTTCATCTTATTGCTATTTATTTAGTTCAGCAGTCATCTCTATGACAACAGGCTGATATTATTCCATTCACAGAAGGCAGATAAATTTTAAATCCACGTACGGATTAGGCCATGAATACCTGCTTTTAAAGAGAATATTAGTAAATCTATCACTCTTGATACTTGGGAGAAAATTTACGGATCAGGCATTTCAAAATACATACACTTTTCTGTTATTAAAGGCTTAACTGTCTTGCAACTTGCTGCCACGTAGCACACATTAAAGAAGTGTAACATAACAACTGCATGGTGAGTTATTGACCATTCATTTACTTACTCATGAAGTTAAAAGAAAAAGGATCTGCACAGTAATGCATAGTGTAGCTTTGTTCTGTTTTGGAAGACCATTTTTCAACTTTAAATTACTATGGATGTAGCATCAGTTTTTGGTGTTACGGTACTAAATATTTCAAAACTATAGGAGGTTTAGATTGGATGTAAGGAAAAATTTCTTTACTGAAAGAGTGGTGAAACATTGGAACAGGCTGCCCAGGGAAGTGGTGGAGTCCCCATCCCTGGAGGTATTTAAAAGACGTGTAGATGAGGCGCTTAGGGACATGGTTTAGTGGGCATGGTGGTGTTGGGTTGACGGTTGGACTCGATGATCTTAGAGGTCTTTTCCAACCTCAATGATTCTATGATTCTATGATTCTATATCCAGTCAATTTATCAAAAATCCCATGATTTTTTCAAAAAGTAGTTCTGAAAAGATCAAAGCAGGACAACAGAATGAGAAGATTGACACAAGGAAAAAAAAAAAGAGAAAGAGCCAGGTAAAAATAGCAAGAGTTAAAATGAGAAATAGTGTTCAGTGTTCAAACTCAGAACTGCATGTAAAAGGGTGGCCCTGACATTCCCATTTCTTAAATGCTCTGGCTTTCCTTCATGGATGCACTAAAAACTTTCCAAGTGAAAGTAACAGCTGCCATAGACTCCACAACAGCAAGAAGAACACTCACATATTCACCGCAGTAAAATTCTTCAAACCACAAAGAATTTAAGCAACCTAATTTGGGTTGTTTTTATGTATGAAGGCTCAGAACGCTCAATCATTCTCTATCTTCTACTGGAGGAATTCAGCAGGGGAGGGAAGGCAGAGAACTGTGTCCCAAAGCTGAAGTTTCAAAAGATGACACTTTTCCTAACCTGATCAGCAATGACAGCCACCAGAAGATAACACTCATGTCTTGTTTTAAATCTAGACTGCAATGCAGGTCTTAGAAGGTACTCATTTGACTTTCAGTTTCTGGTAAACTTACTGACAATTGTATTTGGAGCAAGACTTTCAGGAAGAAGCACAGACAATATTTTTAACCATTTAAGTTTTCTAAACTTAATAGACAAAATAAAATAATATTGCAATACCTGTCAATTATCCAAATGCTACCAGGCCCTTGGGCTCTAAAAAGCTTTAAAGAAAACTTTATAGACAAAACAAAATTAAATTTCTTCATGTTTTGTTCCCTTCTGCTACATCTTGTCACTGCTAGTTTGCTTGTCCAAAGAGTACAAATAAAATCCGTGAGGAAAGCGAGGGACATCGCATGACGCAGTGAATTCAATACCAGGGACATGTGACAGTGTCACACGTACATACATATCCCGTCACTTGCAGCCAGCAACTCAGTCACATTTTTCAAACAGATGGGAGCAGGAGTTCAACTTCAAAGAGTGCTTTATATTTCATTTACTGTATCAGTTCTACTCATTTAACGCCACCTATAGCCGGCTCATATGGACTAAAGATAGGCCAACATTTTTAGGACCGTCGAGTAAGTTTTTTCCTAATTATTCATGACAACTGCAGGAACATTTCATCACCAGCCTGATTTCACATGGTTCAACACTGAATATAGAGCAACAAATGCGTCTGTGTTGGAGCCAGCCAGTTCAGAGAAAAACAGTCAGAAAGTTCCCCGAAAGCAAAATCAGACTGTTTAACAGCAACCAACTGGAAAGACAAAACTGTATCAAATTCCACATGACAGAAAAATTACTGTAGCTTTTACTGCTTGGTAAACAGAGCTGAAGTTAACACTATGGTTGCAACATATTGCAAATGTTTCATTTAAAAAAAAAAAAAAAAAAAAAAAAAAAAAAAAAAAAAAAAAAAAAAAAAAAAAAAAAAAAAAAAAAAAAAAAAAAAAAAAAGGTGGGGGAGGTTGGGGTGGGGGAGGTTGGGGGGGAAGGATCCCTATTAAAGGTCAGCGTGATACTGAGCTAAACACTCAGAATAGCCTGTATCTGCTAACAAAATGAGTGCTGGTCACTGGGTCTTCTTTTGAAGGTAAAGTGTAATTACTGAGACTGCCAAATTGAGGTTAAAGTTCCCACTGAAACTTTTAATAAAACGAGCATATCTATCCTGTCGAAAAATGCTACATTAAGATACTGTCACATGTGGCAAGAGGTGCCACAGCATCACATTTCCTGTGTTAAAAGGCATTATTCAGACTCTTCCAGAGGTGTGATCATTAAAACGTTTATTTCCTTCTAACTTTTTGCCAGACTAACTTTACTGTCAAAGACCAAGGTTTTACACATTATCAGCTTGTATTTATTCATCACCTATACCAAAAACAAAACACCCAAGCCGCTTCTGCCCCAGCAAAGCCTGCTTCCCCCCGGCACAGCGGCTGAAGAACATGCTGCAAGGGATCTGCAGACCACAGCATGAAGACGACTCCACAGAAAGAACCTGCTAAAAATGAGTCCAAGTCAACACACAAAACATTGCATCGCTAGCCTGGCAGCTAGCTACAGCAATCCTGAATGCCCTTTACTGTTACTCCACACAACATTTTCAGAAGAACAAAAACCTGGTTGGAGAAATCTCAGGCACGTACTGTACCTGAATTTGTTCCTTAAAAATGAGACAAGCGGAAAACACAGAGACACAATTTGCGAATCTCTCTTTAAAGTAACAGTAAACCATTTAAAGTTCATCTAAATCTATTCCACTGTTGTTTATCATTACCAATGAAAGCAGCTTACTGTATATCAGATTTTATGGCCAACTCTGTCACAGAAATCAGATTACCCTCCCCTTCCAATTTCCCCTCTTCTGACTAATAAGCACACTTCATAACAGGAGGTTTGTCCTTTCTTGCTCTCTCTATATGCAAAATACCTGTTCTGCAGACTTCCGCTACTCAGAGTTTGACACAACTGTGCTAAGAAGAGTCTTTATATTCATCACAGCTCCAACAGAAAACCAGATCATTTCCTGAATGGAAAATGAGGCCTGAATAAGAAGCCAAATTTGACTAGCCAAATTTTGCCAGTGTGCAAGACTCATCCCCACCAAGTCACTGTCCACAGGGAGCCCAGTCATTACTGAACAGAGAACTTGAATGGAAGCACATGCCGCTAGACTGCTTTTACTATCTGTGATAACAAAAAACCCAAAACCTATCTGGTATAACAAAGCAACAGGAAGATAGAGAGATTTTTATAAATCACCAATACATTTTCTGAAAGATGAATCACTGGGTAAGCACGCTTATCATTAGAACAAGGTATTTACCTTTTTTTGAGCTAAGAAAGGAGATTTATAGAACACAGTTTTCAGCACAGATTTCTTAGAAATCATTGCTTTATGATAAAACTCATGGAACACAGAAGTTTTCTACAGAGATTTGACAATTTGCAACTCAAAATATATTTACATGGAAAAGCGAAACAGCTGCTTCCAGACAAGTGCATGTGTTCCACCAGACACGCTCTTTCTGACAAGAGGATGCTCAAGAATGCCTAACGCCAGGTTTGCAGGCTAGAGTTGGATACCTCTGGCAAAGTAGTCACAATCTAGTAAATACAGCTCAAAATAGTATGCTTATCAAAACACTACCCACCCACCCCAAGTGCTCCCAAACCAGGATAAATAACATGCACACTGGAAGTCTGAGAGCACACATACCAAAACTGTACACTCAACCAAATAAATAAACTTTAAATTCAAAGAGATATTTACAGAATTTGGAGCAACATTTGTTACCTACCTTTCATCTCTTTCAGGGGAAAACGTATGCAGGCAACAAGCATAATCGTTAGCAATTCTGTGGACGCAGTATTAAATTTCATGGATTTTCTTTGTTGTTTAAAATGGATTTTATAGCCAAATGGAACACAAGTGAACTGAGATATTATCCAGCCAAGAAGGTTAGTGCCCTGGACTGAAACATACGGCTTGTAATCTTGTCTCTGCTCTGTCCATTCTTCTCACCTCACCTCTCATTGAGAATGCTAGACAACGGTATAGTTTTCTGCTAGTTTTAAGAAATGTGATCTATTATATGCTGGTACAGCACCTACTTACAACCCAGAGAGCAAAGTACTTTTTTTTTTTTTTTACTCCTTTGAGATTTTTGCAGATTCCTTAGAACTGGCTAGAAGATGAAGATATTTTTTAAAAACCTCTTTCCAGGTTTATGCCTAAAAATAAAATAAATCCATCCTTATAATGGAGCATAAAAAGATAGAGGATGAGTACAACATTGTTGGCTGGAAATACCACTTTGCATGAGGAATTGATCACAAGTCTTCAAAGAGCACATCCCAAGCGATCAAGAAAATTCCTCCTTTTGTACTGACTGCTGATGTATGAATATTCATTATTTTGCTAGCCAAACACAGCTTTTTGTGGGCTTGGGATTTGCTTGTTTGTTTTTAAGTGAAATGAATGTCCTTTTTCTAATTTTGATCTAATTCTTAGTCTCCTTGAGGAAAAACCTCACAGGTTTAATGACGAAGAAGATTAAAAAGGCCATGCAAAGCAGTTTAAACAATTATTTCAAGCTGCACTCTGAAGACCAGATTTATCCCTCCTCCTTGTATTACATAAAGTACATGTTCCTCTGCTTTACAGGCCTATAAAGCTTTCTGAGCTCATATGAATAACAGATTAATAAATCGATCACCTTTTTCTTTAGTATTACAAGGGATATTTATTTCCTTTTTAAAGGAGTATAGTTGAAAATGTTATTTATCTGCTATACTAAACTTAAATGCTAACTGGCACACAGTAAAGCCACTACATTTAGGTGAGCTGCTCTGTTATCTGAGCAACTTGCAACTCCAACTGTTACCTTATCAGTACATTCAGATAAAAAAAACCCGAAAAGTGCTGAGATTTTAGTTATTGGAAAGACTCTCTCAGTCAAGAGAGATTGTTTTCTGAAAAGTCTTGCTGGCAGTTTGTTGGTAATGCACTGCCAGGACTTTTACGCTACGAACTCTGCATCTTCCAGGTTGTTTCTAGAAGACTCACCACACTGATCCAATTTTGAACCTTCCTTCTAGCTTCAGCTGAAATCTTTTCTCTTTTAATAGGGCTAAAACCTTCTCTTAAAGCCAGCTGATGTCTTAAAATTCCAGTGGCAGTAATTCTGTAGTCAGAACATTAGCAAATAGGCTTTACTCTGACTTCCACCTTTATAAATCAGGACTATACAAAAGAGCAGTCTCACTGAATACCCAACAGCAATTATGCAACTACAACTAGCAATATTCAAGAGCCTCTTTATAAGTCTCAGAAAAAGAATTCCATTTTGCAACACTAATACTGATTGCTTGTTACAACATAGTAAAATTAGGTAAAATACTTATTATGTGGAATGTTTGTGATACTCAATACTGCGTTTCTTCTGCTGACAGCAAGCACAAACAAGGAAATCCAGTGATGTGGCAGATTATCAGATGTTAGTCTACTCCTTTATTGAATATAGGATCATTTATTACATAAAAAATTGTCTTAGAATACCTTGAAGACTACTGTAAGCCTGCTGAGAAGACAAATTCACTTAAATGCAAGTTTTTATAATATGATAAACAAAGATTCCAAAACATTCATCTATTACGACAAGTTCAATTTCCTTCCTGCCTGAAAGAGAAATACACCAAATCTTCAAACTCAACCAAAAAAAAAAAAAAAAAAAAAAGAAAAAAATCCAACCTCAGTACAAGGCACTTCAATCTACTTCTACAAACTCTTCTAAGTCACAGATCTTTGAACAACAACAACAAAAAAAATCTTTCCAAACTCCAGGGCAACTATCTTTCATCATCTAGAGCCTGTTGTTTTATGACAGCAAGGTTCTGTATTTCCAAGGAAGCCAGTAGTACTGTGTCATACAAACATGGCTTGCCTTGAAGAAAGATGAAAGACATTTTAGATATAGTGCCCATTAAAAACCTCAAAAGAAGTTCATAAGATCTGAGAAAAGGAATAAAGGTGCAGAGTTGTACAGGAAATTTCATAAATCTGCAGTCAATCCAGAAAAATCTAAAGGGGGTTTTACTTGAGTTCATTTGACATTATGACAGAGACTGTACAAGGCCTCCTGCTTTTACAAGCTGAAGGCCAAACCTTACCATCTTCTCGGGTGCAATCCCCTTACTGAATCCACATAATCAGATGCAATGCCTTTATGGATTCAAATGCAAGATCAGGGCATGATGACTTCCATGAACAAAGAGCTGAAAGTTGGCAGAACGAGGCTATGTGTATTTCTGAGGAATTTCTGAGCAGGGCGTAGAAATGAACTCATGCATAACACAAGTGTATCTTGAAACAGAAAGTGAAAAGCTAGATTTCAACATACCTTTTTCATCTCATTTTCCAGATTTTCTTCCTCCTGACCTTCAGACAGTCGCCTTCTTAACTCTGCTATTTCCCGTTCCACATTTTCTCGATATTGATTCCACTGAGCTCGCTCTTGCTCCAACCTGTGATGATACTGGAGCTCATAGTCACGAACAGTCTCTATAAAACAGTATTTTCAAAACTTATTTTCAATGTAAGTTAAAAACCAGAGCTTTAGGAACTCCATCTCCAACCAGTCAATGATTTATCATAATTTATCAAAACTAGTTCACAACAGTGAACTCTCCCTTCCTCTCTCTTCCCTTTGATTCTTGCCCCAAAAACCAACTACACAAGCAAAAGATTCAAAGGAACTGCATCTCAATTTGTACCATCACTAGAAAAACAAACGAGCCTCCAAAACTGTGTAACTCCTAATTTCAAAACAACGTACATGTCTAACATCCTATTTAGCAGCACATTTTGTACCTCCAAGCACATCATCCAAACAAACTACCAAAACCTACTTATTTACTCCAAAATGCAAAGGAACTAGAACTTCTCACATAGCTTTCATTTCCCTATTATTAATATTACTTCTTCAGGTAAGGAGCTGTCTTTGTTTATATACGTACAGCAGCTGGCACAACTGAGCCTTGATCTAGGTTTATGTATCTATGTAGATCACAAATAAACAGAAATTTGTGTACTCAATATACATGAAGATTTGTGTTCTCTGGGGGAAAAACATAATCAGGTGATGGAAAAACTGCCTACAGCCAACAGTCTGCAGGCTCAGGATATTGTGATCCTGTTGTCAACCTTGAAGAAAACAGCCAGTTACGGCAACAGTCTGTCCCCAGTTTACATCCTGCATTTTGTTCCTTGCACATAAGTTTGTCTCGGAAATGTCAACAGCTGTGCAATATGCAAACATAACAAAGAATAGCTCAGAACTATCAAGAAAAAACAATAACCCATGACTGATACAGAGCAGCATGTTCAGTCACTAGCCTGGGGAAAAGTCCATGTGATAGTACTGGAGGGACACGTAACTGTCTAACAGCAGAACTATGTTTACACAGAAGGAGAAAAGAGAATCACGCTGTCAGCCTAAAGCTGTTTTCAGACTTGTCAGATTACATGCATTATACTTATCTTCATTAAGTGTGATACTTCATCCTTCCTAGTCCCTCAAAAATGCTTTGCATATATGTGGGAGTTCCCATTGCCATGATTCCTTCTAAATTCTATCCTCATATTAACAGAAAAGAACCACCAAGCTCCTTTTCACAAACTTAGGAACTACGCTTCATCTGTCACTTCTGTAGCCCAGTTTTGCCAAGCCGTGAAAAGCAGCTATCCATATTCTGTGCAAGAGCAGGCACAAATCACTAAACGCATACTAAAGCGGTGTCTGATCTTAGCAGCAGCAGCTTGTCTGGTTGTTACCTTTCATAATAGCTTGTAGTGAAGCTACTTCTTCTTGCCACTGTCTCTTCACCTCATCGATAGCTTCCTGCTTTGTATTCTCAGATACTGTAGCTATAGCTTTGATGTTCTCCATTTCAGCATGAGCTTCCATTAGCTGGGTCCGCAATTGTCCCAGATCATCTTGGGCTGCTTGGAGCACTGCATTTTGTCTTTTCAGGTCCTCTGAAAAGAAGTATTATTTACATTTAGCTTAATTAATAAATTCAATCTGAAGAGTATCCATAGTTGCTATGGCAAAGAACAGTGCTCTAACAAGGGGGTAAAGGAAGCACTGATACTAAAGCATCTACCCAGAACAACTGAACAAATGTTAGCAGGTGTCTTTAGTCTTTCTTGACTTCACTTGCCCTTGCCTTTTATTAAAAAAGTACCTTCTCATGGACGCAGCCACAAAGCAGACACTGTAGATTTAACCTATGAATCAATATACCTGATGAACGTGAACTGTGCTTTAAATTAGTTCATTATTATTTAACTCATTCTGGTAATGAATCTGGAAAAGATAAGAACAACAGACAGGAAGACAGTTCTTCCCCCATTTTTGGCACCAACTTGGTCCTGAATTTGGATAGTTGGTCCTTCATATTTCTTGAACAAAAACACTCTGTGACCACTGCCTGGAGCCCACATAAGAAAATTATGCAGCCTAATTTGTTTGGCTTTGCTAAAACTAAGCTTCTACTAAAAAAAGAGATACATTCAATGCAACATCCACTACTTCTCTAATTGTTGCAACTATAAACAGAAGTTAAACTAATTTCACATTATCCTCCTCAGTTAATCCCTGAATTAAAAAGCTCTGGAAGATATATATTATACAATTCATTCCAAAAGTACTAACACAAAATATATAGTTTTATGCCCACATAGCGTATTTCAATGGCAATCTCTTTTAGCAGAAACATCTGGCCAGCGTACAACAAACAGCAAGCTATCTCCATTTATTTCCCCTCAGTATCAAAATGCTTAATCAATCCTGGTGCCCAACACCTTACCCCCTGATAGAGAATATGGAACCCCGAGCTAATCGGGTACTCAAAAGGGCATTAATCCTTGTGTAAAAAAACCCAAGATCTTGTAGCATTTATATTACTTAGTTCTCAAATGACAGTATCAAGGATGGGCTGCCACGTCCCAACATACATTTAGGAAAGGGTCTTGGAGAATGTGAAAGTTGGATTATTTTTTTTTCCCCGCTCGTCACAATTTATTTTTATTTTCTATTTTTTGACTGTTATGTTCTGAAAAAGAGAGAATTATCGCTGATCTCATCAGTAGTATCTTGTATCTTAAATTTCCTTTCATCCAGCTGCTAGAAACACAAAGAAATAGGCCTTCTGTATGATCTGATCTTCATTATGCCTGTTGTATTTCTGCTCTTATAAGCTTATACAAGCAGCTGCAGTCTTAATGCATTATTTTTTGGCTTTGCTTTCATATGTTAAGGACAGGAAAATCATCAGGATTAGAAATAAATCAATTTGGCTCTCAGAACAGCAGTTATCTCTACTCTCCCAATTCTTCACCAGATATTTGAGCTCACATGGTTCAAATTTTCCTATGAAGAGTGTTACTGAAATAGATGCCCTTGGCTGGTATTAAAACTTTTATAATGTTTGTCTTCTTACATTCTACCTCAGATGGAAATTTAAGACAAATTAAGACTACATAAAAAAGCTAGTCACGAAGTACAAACAGCTCAGCACCTCGACTATGTCTTTCCACTTCCCAGATCAGCTGCTGTTCAGAGAGAACAAGCACACCATGACTTCAGAATGTTAGTATTAAAACTCACTGGTGGTGTTTCTGCGTGTACATAAAGCTGCTCTGCTGACTCCTATCCACGCAGACAAATCTTTAAATTAATTCTAAAAATTCATTCTAGGAAGCTAAATAGCCACCTGTTGAATTTTACTCTCTGCTTGTCTCTTATGTTCTTATTATGTGTCTGTTTAAAAGACTACTGCCACTTTTTCATTTTTGGCAAATCAGAAATAACAATCATGCTGGATATGCAGAGGAATATCCCAGTACTGGAAGAAAAATCCCTTAAGTTCTAATTATCCTTAACCAACTTTAAAACAAACAAACAAAAAAAAACCCCAAAAAACAAAAAGAAAGTATGTGGTGTGCATAGGCAAATGCGGAGTAGTAGCTGGCATTACAATTGTTATTCTTCATACAGGGATTATCTGAAGCTCAAGTTTAATTAAACTTTAGAATAATTCAGAATTGAGAACTTACCTTCCTTAGCCAAGTATAACTCCTTAAATTTTGCTCTCTTTTGATTAAATTCTTGCTCAAGTTGCTGCTTTGTGCGCAGAAATTCTGCATTGACCTTTTCCAATTCTGCTACCCGTTGTAGAAGAGCAACTAAAAATAAAATAGAAGATAAGGTACATCACTAACAGTTAAGGCATCCCATTCTGCAACTTTGAGGTTTGGGACTTATTCTTTTTAAAACATCTTTATTCAGTAGCTCAGCTGTTGCCCCATGATACATCAGGACAACTAGTCAGAGTCTTTAAGCAACAAGGGAAGATGCGTTTTCTTAGACTGCAGCACCAAGTTGTAATAGACATCTTCACAGCACTAGAGGTGCCTGTGGCAGGGAATTCTGTAGAAAACAATCAATCTCCCAAAGAAAATCATAATTTTGTACAATAAAGAAAAAACTGGAAAAAAACCCAGTGCCAGAATTATTTGTATTGGTGCTTCTTTCCAAAACACTGGGAATTTAGTCACCAGGCACAGGAAGAGTGTGTGAAAGCTGAACAACAAAGCACCAAGTTCTCAAAGGCTGAGGTCAAAGAAAACAAAGTGACAGCTGCTCAGCTAACAGCTATGGAAGAACAAAGCACAGAAAACCCCATAAGCTAAAAATTAGATGCCGTTATCTTCCCTGTCTTCAGTTCTGCGCATTCACCAAAAGAAAGTTTCTCAGACCATACTCAGAGCAGTTTGCCAGAAGATGACCACAATCTATGGAGAAATAACTGATCATAAGATAAAACTCTCCGTATTTCCAGCAGGCAAAAATCCTCAATGGCGCACATACATCACACTATTTTCCAGTATCTACCACATTAGCAGTTGATCTGGTGGTACAACAAAAGAGGGAACAGTAGGAAGTCCACAAGACACCTAAAGATTGTTACAATGTGGTTATTATTGAAAAAAACCATACAAATACCACTGCATGATGCTATAAAGATCCCCCACAACCACCAACCCTATAATGTTCATCTCCATGTGCACTATTAACTTCTTTGCACCTCAAGAAGTACAGGTCTGGTTTAGGTGCCAGAGTGTTTCACATTGCACATCTCAGAATTCAAATACGAAACAGAAACAAAAGACAGATGAACTATAACAAAATCCACCTCCATGCTGCAGTGCACTGAGCAAATAATGTTCCTCTGCACAATTCTCTATCTGTTCTGCAAAAGCATTTTATGGATGTGTTCCAACTCTGTCGTGCAAAGCTGAATCACTTCTTTTCAGTTACAGCCTCTGTATAGCACAGACTAGATATATAAAATATTGATCCATCAGAAGTGTTTACATATCACACCCAACACGCTTCCCACCAAAAGCAAGTAGTGAAAACATAGTACAAAGGCTACACGACTTCAGCATCAAACATTTAGACTTACAAACAGCCAGAATTAGATCTAGAGCTTACAGTGGTAAAACACTGGATGGTCAATGCCATTGAGATTGGGTGAGTTATATTTATTTTTAGTACCAGATGACTTAGAGTAAGAGCAGACACAAATAAAAGGATCTTTTAAAAGCACAGGTATGTTTTACTGATTGCTGGTTATGAGGGCTTATGGTGTTACAAAATACAGAACTTAATCTGTTCAACTCTCTATCAGATAAAAGGTATATGTAGATACAGGACTGACGAAATTTTAATGTTGCTTTTTCACTGAAAAAGTCATTTTGGTTTTTTAGCGCCTTAAATGGCAACACATCAGTTTCTGGCCAGCAACCCCGACCTGGATAGTGCAAAGCCGTTGCACAGGAGTATTCTCCAGAAAATGAAAGGAACCTGTAGCAAAGACGACGCATTGAGAGCAAAGCTTCAAGTGAGTTAGGAAAGCGGCTGGATCAAAACCAGGAAAGAAAGTGCACGCATGGAGCCAGGCCCAGGTAGCAAAAACGCTTCCCAAGGCTAAAGAGTTGCCTTTGATCTCTTGCTGAAGTCTTCCAAAGGGAAAGGGTTTGCCTACGTTTCCACTCCCCACTGACTTCTGAGAGAGGGTGATGCTGCCAGGAAAGCTGCTTCCCACAGCCTGGGGGGAAAGCAGCTCGCTTGCTGGCCCAGGCCAGAGCCCCCGTGCAGCCTGCTGCTGCAACGCCTGCTTCACGCCTCTGAGGAATGAAAAGCCATGCTTGGCTCTAAGGAGGCGGTTTTGAACTCACAGTTTCAGCTCTTGAAAGGAAACTATTAGAAGAACTATAGCCTAAGTGAGCTGTATGCTGTGGTTAGGGGCAGGTCGCTAAACCCTACAGGTCCAGCCAGGCAGCTCTGCATCTGCAGTTACCGGCCAGGAGGCCCAAAGCCACACACATACGTTCAAAACAAACCGAGGAGGAATCTGGACACTGGTCTTCAAAACAGCGTTTGTAGGGTGACCATACAAAAAATTGTTTTATTCTACAATTACTAATTCTGAAAGTTAACAACTGTAGACAACAGAAAACCCCCCCCCCCCCCCCCCAAAAAAAAAGAAGACTCAAGCACTCCTTGTTTACTACCCCAGAAAAAAATTAAAAACTGTAGACAACAGAAAACCCCCCCCCCCCCCCCCCAAAAAAAAAGAAGACTCAAGCACTCCTTGTTTACTTGTTTCCCTTTCCATCTTTCTTTTGCAGAGAGACAGCAACAGCTGTGCTACTGCTCCCATGGGAAAGCTGCTGTGCAAAGCAACTGAGTTGTATTTCTTCCGAAGGTGAGAGTTGCTTCTGCTGAGGATGGAAGCGACAGAGGACACCACAAGAGCAGAAACTTTCAGTGCTTTAAGCTGGGGTAACAGCAGACTCATACTTTTAAAAACCTCCTGCCCAAACGGAAAGAGGGATGGCAGAGTCACCAAGCAGGAAACGCAATTTAAACTTCAAATATTTACGTTTACAGTGTTCCCCTTCTCTACAGCCTGGCAGTTATGTATAAAAAAAAAAGTAATAAATAAATAATTAACCCCCACCACAACAGAGCTCTGGCCGCTGTCAGGACCAGCTGTAGGCATTCAAAAAACCGAACAGTTTAAGAGCTCAGCTGCAGGCCACGCATCACTGCAACAGCGTATTAACATCATTCTTTTTATTCAGATACTAAGTTTAAAGTGTTTTTACCACCTGTACTACATATGTGGCTCAGGACAGACCTTGCCGTTCCTCACACAGGAGAGGAGTTTGTCCGCACTACCAGCATCCACATTGCAGTGATACAAGGCACATAAACTTGAGGACGATGAACTATGTAATACATCAACCCCCTGAAACACATGTGCATAAAAAGCAAAAGCAAAGGAAGGTTTATTTTCTAAGACATCATGACAACTACCTTCTTTCTACTAAGTATGAATGATTAAATTTTCACCAAAATTACTTGCTTCTCTGGAGGTATGATTTGTATGATGGTCATACACACCCTCCACTTTGCAAAATGAAAGCGTGAACCCAAATCCAAATTGCCAGATGCAGGTAACCGCGGGCTAAAGTCTGCCTGGAAGCGCACTGAAGTCAATGGCAGGAAATGGACTCATTCATAGATTTTCAATTAGGCCTTTGTCATTTATAGCTGACTTCTTGCTCTGAATTTAGGTCCAACTCACCCCAGGTCTGTAACAGAGCTGAAAAAGAAAACTGTATTTACCATCATAGGCTATCAACTTAAAACTCACAAAAAAAAAAAATCCCCAAACCAAAACATACATTTTGCAATGACAGTATTCATTAACTTGTCAGAGTCCCTGTCCCTATGCTCCCATTTCCATGCACAGAAATGCAGCTATCAATGTTTAACGACACTGATAAAGTATATAGTCAACAAAGCCCGATAGATGGTCAGTTCTTGTGGAGCTACGCCCGACCGAAACAGGATCTTGTGTTACACATGAGATCAGAACAGGCACAGGACATGCTGTATTTCATGAAAGCAGTAGTGTGGAAGATCTAATTCCCTAATTAGGGCCCTAACTCACCAAGAAACAAACAAAAAACCTAAAGACCCAATTTCTTAACTCCTGAAATAGCACTGAGAAGGATTTAAATTAAAATTGGTATGCCAAACTGAAAAACAAACAAGCAAACAAGAAGTCCCTTTGGCCAACAATTTATTAGCTGCAAATAGCACTTTTTTTTCTCAGAGCATTGGGGCAAACAGACTACTGATGACACAGACATGGCAATTAAATTACTAGCTTTGTTTCTAACAAACAACACAGATTTTGCAGAGACACTTCAGGTCAGACGCAGGGATCACCACCTCCCTGCTTAACACTAACATAGCAAAGCACAGGGTATGCTATTATGTGGCTTAACCAGGTAGAACTCAAAAGAAGGGCAGCAAAATTCATTTCAGAGTGGAGTCATCAATTTACAGGAGAACCATGAAACCTGTTGGCGTACACAAAGAGAAACTCTAGTGAAAGAGATACAACTTTCTCTTAACCCACTACACAGCAAAATTTCAGTTCAAGTGAAACACAGGAACAAACACACATTTCCTATTGACTAGTTACTTAAGTGCTGTTTCACAGATCAGCTCCCAAAAGGATTAAATTCTATGTATGACAAAGTCTCCAGTTACACAAACATGTAGTGACCATTCCAGAACTAAGACAGACAAAGCTGATTATCAATAAGACTATTTTTGAGTACTAGGTCTATTTATAAAATTAATGCCACCAAGCTTTCTACTTGATATTTAAAGTGTCAAACATGCCATCAAGAGTTCAGTCCTACGTAGCTGAAATCTGAAAAACAGATCAGAAAAAAAAAAATATATATACGTACAATAAACTTTTTGGAGACAAAAAAAAAATCACTTCTGTCATTTCCCACCTCTGTCTTTTCCTGTATTTTCTGCTTGAGACAGAAGTATGGGAAAAAAAAAATATATGGCTGCCCATTTTTCTTCATGCTTATTTCCTAAGAGTACTAATTTTCATCTATCATGACATCATATTGGAGCAACAATTATGTTACTATATAAATTTTTAATCTAAGAGTCTGCCACCAAAACATGTATTTAGACTGCAAAAAGCTTTTATTTTCTTCAAACAGGATTTGATTTTAAAAAAACAAAAAAACAAAACCCAAACAACAAAAAAACAGAAACCCAAAACACCCCCCCCCCCAAAAAAAATATACTCCAATACAGTTGCTCTGTAACAGGCACCCAGAAGTAAAGGAATAGATTATGGTTCTTTTAATAAGCATGTTGAACAGAAACAAGTCCTGACTTAGGAAATGGAGGTTGCTTTATTTTCAAGGAACAAAATTTGCCCTTACACACAGATATTCAGTAGTGGCAGACCAAACTGAAGGAAAAAAAGGAAGAAAAGAATTATTTGCTTTTCCCAAACTTGCATTTGGAAGCATC